TTATAGTAAAATGTTCTTAAGATTTTATATTTAATTGAAAGTGTTAAATTAATTTAGTTTCCTAAGTAAAAATTACAGCTTACTATTAAGTACCTAATATTTCAAGCCCACGATTCAATAGATTAGTGCGCTACATAATTTAAGAATCCATAAGGAAAATATGCACATCGGGCTTAATGCTTAAATCTGCTGACTAAGTATTCAAAATTGCTTTCAAAATGGCTTCTTCCCCCCTCAAAGCTCGTTTTTTTTAACCATAACATATTTATTGTTTTACTAGCGGTCGCCCACGACATAATTGTTTATTATTTACGAGTTATTTGTTTTCACATACTTTTTGACCGCAAAAGGGGGTTTATTTCTAAAGATACATTATTACTACACCTCTACACCATCTATAGAGCATAAATGTTAAATTTCAAGTCTCTTACTTCAAAAACATAATACTTTCATACAAATTTACAACCCCCGTATTTCTCCCTCAGGGCTAAAGTTTCGTAAAATTCGTTTTTAGCGGATCTACACCTTATAAGGAACTTACCTGCCAAATTTTAAGTTTACAGATTTTATAGTTTCTGAGATTTCGTGATTAACCAGATACATTAATATATATATATTTATATCTACAGAAAGTGCAGTAACAAAGCGACACTGTCTTTTGTAAAATTGACCTTCAAAAAGTGCTGATTTTCAGCCTGCTTTGAATAAATGACTATGTTGATTCTGCTGAATTAAGTCATAAGTTGTGACTGAAGCAGATGGACAAACAATGAATAAGGAATACAGAATAGGGTAAAATACATACTTATAGGACTTCTCGATGAACAACATTAGTGGTTTGGCTCTCAGGACTGGTGACGCAGGAGCAAGCGACGACGCACAGCCTTGCCTTCTGACCTCTGCAAGTATGCTGGTGGTAACAAATGTTTTTCCTGTTTTACCAGGTGCAACATTTTACCAAGAAAAACATTTTACCCTGGTTTTGCCCAACGTTTTCAAGGACGGTGTCATAATAAATAATAAATTTAATAAATATAATATACTTCACTGTAAACAATTTGGTTTTACACGGGGTCGTTCAACAACCGATGCCGGTGTTGAACTTAAACAACAAATTTTTGACGCCTGGGAGAACTCGCAGGACGCTCTAGGTGTGTTTTACGATTTGCCCAAAGCTTTTGATTGCGTTTTTCATGAAACATTACTCAGGAAACTCCACCACTATGGATTTAGAAACACCGATCTGGATCTTATTGCATCATACCTGAGGGATAGGACTCAGAAGGTAGACATTAATGGTAATAAGTCTCCGGGTTCGCCGGTTAAGATGGGTGTTCCGCAGGGCTCAATCCTAGGTCCTTTCTTATTTTTAATTTATATTAATGACTTACTATGTAAGAGATAGTATTGTTCGCGGATAATACATTACTTTTATTTTAACTCAAACGCAAGGAAAAAGTTATTGAAGACGTGAACAATTGTATCTCTAAGGTAGTCCACTGGTTCAATGTTAACAATTTATTACTTAATGAAGGCAAAACGAATTGTCTGAAATTTGTATTACCTAATGTAAAACAGGTAAAAACCAGTGTGAATGTAAAGGATAGGAATGTGGGCCTTGTAGACACCACAGTATTCTTAGGAATAACTTTAGATTCTAAGCTTCAATGGGGCCCACATATTGATTAATAGTCAAATAGACTTAGCTCTGTAGCATATTTCGTAATGAAGATACGCCAGTTAACGGATGTAGATACGGCCAGATTAGTGTGCTTTAGTTATTTCCATAGAGTGTAATGTCGTACGGAATTTTATTGGGTGGAAATGCCGCCGACATTCAAACTATTTTTGTGCTGCAGAAGAGAGCTATTCGATCAATTTATAATCTTAAAGTTAAAGAATCGTTAAGAGATAAGTTTAAAGAATTTGGAGTTATGACGGTCACATCACAATACATATACGAAAATTTATTACTTGTAAGAAAAAATATTAATTTGTTTCTTAAAAACAGTGATGTTCACAAACTTAATACAAGAAATAAAAATAAACTAACTTTACCTCCTACTAGGCTTCAGAAAATTAATAATTCATTTAAAGGTCTTTGTGTTCATTTATACAATAAAGCCCCAAGCAATATCCAATAGTTAATCATGAATAAATTTAAAGATAGTATAAAAAAACACTTATTAAAAAAGCTTATTACAAAGTGTCTGATTATATTACAGACAAAAATGCTTCGGTTTGAACTGTTTAAATTATAATTAAATAAATCATAATTGTAATGATGTTGTAACAACATAATGATTTGTAAATGTTGTTACATTAGACTTTTATTGTTGTGGAGTGTTTTTCGCTCGTTTTTCTCCGCAGCTAAAAAATATGTCCCTACGTAATAATAATTACGTAGGGAAAAAAAATTTGGACGATTCAAAAGAGTTGTACTAGACATCCAATTTGAATAAAGATATATTGATTTCTGATACATTTGTTTTTGCTCTGAAGAAAGCGACATGGTCATTTCATAATAACACCATGCAAATATGCGTCGTTCGATTACACTTTGTTACAGAATGCGTTGAAAAAATAAAGATTCACTGCTCCTTCCCCGTAGGTGATAGCGTGATAAAATGTAGCCTATATGTTGACCCGACTTCTTAATAATATTCGTGCCAAATTTGAAGTAAATCCATGTAGTACTTTTTTAGTTTATCCCAGACATACATACAGACAAACAGAAAAAAAATCTAATAACTATATTTTTGGCTTCGGTATCGACTGCAGATCACACCCCAAGTATTCTTTTCAAAAAATATTTAATGTACAGTTTTCACTTTCGTACCATTACTATGTGTATAGATATCTAAGGTATGTTACCTTCATCGCAGAACCGGAAAGCACAGATGACTCAAGGGAGGGACGCATTTTATGTACCGTTTCACACAATTTAAAAAAGATAATCTGATTCTAAGAAAAACAGTAGATCCATGTAGAGAAACAGGAGACATTTGAGAAAAACAGGAGATCTCCTGTAGAATCGGGAGAGCTGGCAACCCTGCAGGTGGCTTTAAATTTCGGTTATTACATTAACCTAACCTAACCCACGATCTAAATAAAGTTTATGCTTAACGAAATTATGCGGAATAAGATTTTTCATAAGGTATAATATTGTGGATTCGGAAATATAAAAATGCAATTTAAATAATCGTTTAGAGAAGATTTTACAAATAAATTTCTTAGCAACAAGATTCTACCAAATAGATGGTAGTATAAACCAAACGGTCACTATTCAGAGGAGGTCTTTCCCATTAAGGCGTTTGGTCTGTGATCGTAGAAGATAAGGAAATTTCGCAGTGGCCGATCTTCGTGCTTCGGAAGACATGTCCAGTCGTTGGTCCCGGCTGAAGCTAGCTCGCTAGCAACAAATGCACTGGGCCCACGTTAAAACTCAAGGCCCTAAGAGCCTGGGCACATCACCACGCTGTGGCGCCGCAACGTAAACCGGCGCGGCCCCTTAACGTGAAACGACACCTATAGACAGATTATGGTGGCCGCTTACCATCAATAATAAGGTATAAGGTATAGGCCATACGTTTGTTTGTCACCCTTTTAACATAAATAAAAACTTTTAAACTTGATTTAAGACAGTGCTCTCACTTTTTTTGCAATATCACTAAAGTAAGAACACAATAGACTTAATAACATTTTGTCAATCAATCAATCAATACTTAATTGTATTTTACAATATTTTCTTAGATCTTAGTAGGTAGGTCATGGATTTGATAATTGTAGACCCTGAAGGGCTCAACAAATAGAGAATAGAGAACGTTTTTGAACGAATTATTATTATTTAACTAACAATTCGCATCGTGAAGCTTTTTTTATCATTCTGTAGATTGAATCGCAGTATAACGTCGCGAGTCTTTATCAGGCATAAACGATTCTTTCATACTAAGCCCCCTCCTCCCCAATTTTCCCAGAAAGAGTCATCCAATCGATAAAAAAAATTCATAACACAAGAATCAAGTGCCGTTAGCTTCTTACACAACATCCCCCCCTGCCCCCTCTGAGGTCACCCCTCTCCCCCCCTGAAGGCCGGCGAAAGGAACTTTCACTTGTGGAATTCGTCTGTCGATTTTGTGACGTCACCGTTTGCGCAAAGTGATGCAACTTGGACCAAATTTTATGCGCTTTTTGTCGGCCGCCGATTGCTGAGTTTCGTGCTTTAGGTGGTTTTTGGGTGTACGGCTTAGTTTTCTTTCAGCGAGTCATTTTTCATTGTGAACAATACATAAATACCAACTAATATACTTTTTAAAATGCATTTCTAAAACACAAAGGTATCTTATCTGTTTTGTATAACCCCGTCTCTCACCCAGGGGCGGGGTATGCGTCACGCATTTTCCCAACATTAAAAAAAAAAAAAACTCGTTATATGCATCGAACAATTTTATTTCTTCATCATCATCAGCTTATTAATGTCCCCACTGCTGGGGCACAGGCCTTCCCTATGGATGGAATAGGGAGATCGGGTCATGACCCACCACGTGGGCCCAGTGCACCCGCCAATCCGGGTGCTAACGACTGCAGATGCAGCCGGGACCAACGGCTTAACGTGCCTTTCGAAGCACGGAGAAACTCGATATAGAAGATTTTTGGTCACCCATCCAATGACAATTTATTTCTTATTTCGTTACAAATATCAACGCATTAAGTTAGTAAGAGTTTTTAATCTGCTTTCCTACAATGGGCCTGCTGGAAGAAATTTCAGATTGAAATAAGCTGTGCCCTTCTACTATTATCTTATTTTGTAATCTCTTTCTATTTATATTTGTGTGTACAAAATGTATAAGTAAATAAAATAAATAAATAAATAAGAGTGTTAAATTTCGTTATATGACCAGTGGTTGGTTGTACTATCTGTACCGCACCATAGAAAACAACATAGAAAAATTATACAAGATATTTCAGAAATAATACTTATATTAAATAATATTCCTTGCCTGTTTAAAATTGGGACTAAAATTAGTTAATTAAATGTAGGAAATAAAGTAAACACATTTTATATGGCTATTTATTTATTCGCATTACTCAAATTATGATAGTACACCTATAACTAAATTAGTTTGGTCTAGTAATAGTTGTTATTGCGTTAACCTATACAACGCTAACTGCGTTTTAATACAAATTCTTCATTTGCTTTATTATTTAACCCTTCACCGCTGCTAAAGTAGCAAACACTATTTACACTCGGCGGGTACCATACAATCACAATTTATCAATTTTGTCCCTAATAAAGCTACATACACGTCTATTTGGCACAAAATTTAATTTTCAAATGACCCAATTAACAAAAAAGGTATATCAAACTACCGCCTCGAGCGATGACGTACATTATACATTTTCTGTTTGACGTAACTCGCCAACTGTATTGTTTCAACGCTTAAAAAAATATTACAAAGTTTAAAACTAAAATTAAATGAGAATAATCTCTTGCACATCACTCGTACACAATACGTGACTTCGTATATAATTAAAAAAAAATATATTGTTTACTTTTTATCGATTTTATATCAATTTTATTTACAACAAACTTAAATACCTAAAAGTTCATAGAACGTACTAGAAATATATCATAGATATATGGGATAAACATTACCAGCTTTCGACGAAAACGATAGTTTCCTTAAAGAAAATGTTGAACGCTTCGTTCGCGCCTAGTCGCCGGTAAAAAAAACCTTAAAAAGCTAATTATCGAGTAAATCCCGTCCAGTAGAATTCTAGAGAAAATTACCTTTCCCGAATTATATGGAGGGATTCAGTGCCTAATAGAACGAGTTCCGAAACGTGGATACTCGAAAATTCGGCCACAACACGTACTCGGGCTGCATACAGCTTGACGCGTGCGTCAAACTGGAGCAGTCGTCGTGGACACCGCATTACCGCGGCGTACATTTATAATAAATATTTACATAACTTAAAAACTACGGGTTTATATTGCAAACTTATAAGCAGTACGGATGACAGAATTGGTAGACGAGCCTCTGGCTCCTCTCGGTCTTCTTCATGATGCCTTTCTTGTAGTACTGCCTGATACTCCTGGAGAGTTTGTCGTAGTTCATCGCGGGCCTGTTCTTTCTCTTGCCCCACAGTCGGGCGACGCGCACGGAATCCTCAATCTTAAAAACACCGTTACCTGCGAAAGTACGACATGAATTAGGCATCGCATGTTAAATTATTCAAAAGTTTATCGAACGATCTGTTTATGGTCTTAGAAGGAGCTCGCCGGATTTTAGAAATATTCAATACTGACGTGACAATTCAAACGACTTTGGTTTTGTGTTATTTAGGACTATCCGCTTCAGACGTTATTGCGTTAGAAAACTTATAAAAAAATCTGCATGCAATTTTGCTATTATAGTATTGATTGTAATTTTATCCGAATACGAGTTTAAGACAGGACAATAATAAGAAATATAACGGCATGAATTTTCAGGCAAAGGTATTTTATGCAGCACACAAAATAAAATACGTGATCGATTAAGGATGAGATCTAAATGTCTTAGCGCAAATAGTTTACGGTACATAGACAATACGTTAGTACAGTATCGTCTGTGGGTCCAGTCACGACAAAGAACTAACCTTTAGTGCGGTTTCAAGTAGTTTATTAAAGTACTAAACAGATAGCGAGTAGCTGGCTGGCTCACCTTGGATGTGAGAATGTCACTGTTCAAATAAATTTTCCGCCAACAATGAACGCTTCATGATATGAACAGTATACGATCATATCAGACTAAGGTGTAGTCAAAATTATGTAAACTCATATTTTTAAAGAAGTAGGAATTTTTAATATAATAGAATACGCAACTGATTCTATAAAGCTGACATTCTTCGACCACTTCAAAATGTTTTAGATCAGAAACAAAAGAAGCTTATACTTCTTTTATATACTTTGTTGTTCTTTATATCTGGAAACTGTAAATAATATTAGCTTTGAACAAAAAATGGTTTAATGTTAAATGCAATGTTAATAAGTTGCTACAGGAGTTTTGTCTCATTTATACCTCTGGAAATCTTATATATGTCTGTTTGTTAAATAACTATCAAAGGTTATGAAAATTCCAATAGTTTAGTCAAAATTTACTGATTTTCAAATCAACAACTTTCCTCATTAAAATAATTACGAATTCAATATTCCTACACAATTAAAGGATCCCAGAAAAACAGTGTTGACAGACATTATAGTCAAACTACTAATCACATTAATTGTATCGTAGCAACTGGTTAGAACAAAGGAATTGTTAATGTACATAAATACATAATGACGATAAGTAGTAAGTAAGTAAAAAATGTAGAGAAACAGAGTTCACTTCATAGAAACACATAGTTGATACGATGTTATATGATAGATAATGTTTTATTAATCGCAGGAGCATAATGTTCAAAATGCGAGTAATCCATATAAGCAGATTTGCGATAGTTAAGTGTTATGACTATACGCAAGCTATGAATAATGTCAAAGTATTTTTCATGAGAACTTTAAAAGATGGATGCCTAATAAATATATGAAATACTGTATTCAAGTTACTAAGAAGAAACTAATTACCGATAACAATGGCCAATAAGTGTGGCCAACAATAAATGAGATAAGATACGTCCATGTTTTTATAACTAGGTATGTGTAAGATATCAGGAAAATAATGCGCTTCATTGTATGTTATTTGTTACGGGAAAAAGAAACCTTTTGATATCTTAACTAAAGTAATAACTAGCTTAGTTTAGAAACGATTTCTCAGAATGAGTTAGAACATTATTTTTTTGCGCATAAATAATCAAAATTATCATATCTGCGACTTGATGTGTTAATATCATGCAATAGTTTGCCATTATCAGTAAAGCACGTTTTATAAATTTAAATACTGCTTAAAATTGTTATTTATGTACAAATAATGGACCCAACAGACGTTATCCTGTCTGATAAAAATACGAAAGATTCCTAAAACCTAGCTGCAGCGCAACTTATCGGGAAGAGTTGAAAGCAGTTTTTATTTTATTTTCTGTTTTGCGCATTTCTTAATTTTTCAGAACCTTCTAAGTAGTATTAGAAAACTTCAAAGAAAAACGTAGAAGACCAAGCGATATAGGGATTCATTTCTATACACCTTGCCGCGACTTTTCCTCATTGAGGGAAAAGCACCTACAATACTGGCACAACATCACACAAAGATATAAATGAGTACAATAATGTTACTTACTTCTGTCTAGCCACCGTATCGCGGAGCCATGGATGTGAGGTGATGCCAACAGTTCCTTGAGAAACTGCCACAGATGGATGTGTGTGCTGCCAGACTTGGCCTTGCCACCGCCTGTCACGGTGCTCGTGCCCGCCGACTCGGAATCTTCATCTATTGAAAATAGACAATATCAAATCTAGTGCTTTATGGACTTAAAAAACTTCTAACGTATCAATATAAAACAGTTTTGGTTTACACAGGTTCGTGTCCTGCCTGATATTTTGGCCGCGTTATTTTTTTTTCTTTTTTTATACGTACTAAACAAGCAGTAGCAAAATACGTTTTGTAACTTCCTTATCTTAAAAAAATTACCATCTGTAGCTTAATTTATAGCTAGTGTAACTTCATCATTACAGAATTTTAAGAAAACTCAGCAGATACTATTTTCTTTAAGATAAAAGTCAGGAATGGAAATCTGTGTTTTAAAATCTGACAATCGCGTTGATAGTAATGCCGATACTTCGTATGGTTATTCGTATTCACTATTTGTTAACTTAAACAGTCTCTCTTTTTTACTCCCTATAGAGTATGAAAAGGACAACCTGTTGTTACAATTACAAAGATACCCATAAAGAAAAAGAAACATAAGATAAAAAGTAACGATACCCCATACATTAAAATCTGTTCCCCATACATTCAAACTTAGAGACCTGAACTCTCAAAATATCTTATCACTTTTGGCTATAAGACAACTAAAAAAAGAACGAAGAGCAAAAAATTAATCAATTCTCTAATAATTATCTTCTAGAAAGACTTGTTTTATATTTAGCAAACTTTCTGGAAAATTATCAGGGAGCAACCAGGGAGCAGATACATTATTATAGATTAATGATGATAATAGTGAGTGCATTCGAGAAGAGATATGTCTTATGTGACCTTAATCCATATTAAAGATGTTGATTAATGACAGATCTAACGTTATATTAAACAATTTAAGGTCATTATGGGACAGGTAAAGTGCCTGACGACCAGAAAAAGGGGTCGCAACCAGTAGACTTAAGTGTGGTTTCTTGGAAGTGTACCATTGCAAGTAATCGTTTTCTTGAAGAAGTAAAGCTAGACATGTTTCGTACTATATTGTAAAGGTATTCTGAAATTTCCGCTAAGATATTATCAACCCATGAAAGACTAAACAATATTAACAGATTATTGAATCATTGGAGATAAAATATTCATCTTTGAAATATTTAAGCTATTCGATAGCCTTAAATAGATTTCTTTGTGAAACTGTTTTAAAACATGCAGTTACTATGCAATGGTCTATTTTTGTTTTATTTGGCCTTCAAAAACCAGACTTGCACGCAGACTGACATTCAAGCGGTTTAAGTAAACATAGTGCTAAAATAGACGATAAACAACAACATTGTATGCATGTAAACCAATGCGTTGTCGAGGAATGTTCCGAACTATTTGACTAAATTAAAAAAATCAGATTTATCTATTACTAGATGGAAATGCTCATAGATTTAACACACAGTCTTTGTAAACAGCAAAGATAGAAACAAAAGAAATACTAAGCAAAGTGGCAGAGCTTAAAACTATTAATTGCAGATAAATTTAAATAACTAAGTATGTTATTGTTGTAATTCCAATCAACTCAGTTCAAAATGCATGGAGCATGAATTGAGTTGATTGGAATTTATAATATTTTTTTGAAGTCGTACAGCATGCTATACGTTGGTCTATACGACCTTGCAAGTCCGGTGGCTCTGATCATACAAACTGGGTCGTCGGGAAACGACACAAAAACTAAACTGAACATATAAGGGATTGATGGTGGTACAATCTTGAGTCTAGAATAAGGGGCGACAGAATAGCAATAGGATCAAGAAGCCTTGATTGATAGATTAACTGTGACTGGGCGTGGTGTTTACGGATAACATTGAATTCGATCAGCTCTTTGTAAAATGTGGGTCACTGATTCTTAAATCGAACTACTGATATCATACAAAATATCAACTTTTAGAAATGATTTTATTAATGAAAATATTCGAACGAATAGAACGCCATTCTATTCATCTAAACCGAAACAACAAATACCTATTGTGGATAAAAAATGATCATAAATGATTTACACGACATGTATCTGTAGTAGATGAAATACTGTAAGTATACTGGGCGACGCAGAAGGAATAATTGTAGATTGCAATTTCCTGTGCTTCATGTTGACACTTTTTTTGTGAGCTAACTGTCTTGTGGAAAGTTGCCATTCTAGAATTCCTTTTCCATCGAGGATTATTTAAATGCAAATGTACCGTTTGATTCTAATTTTATTTAAGTATGTAATGTAGTAACGCATCGAAAATTAATATACATATAATCGATATCGCCTAGTCGAGAGGTCCCGGGTTCGAATCCCCGTGGGAGCAGATGTTTGTGTGATGAATATGAGCATTTGTACTCCAGACATGGATGTTAAATATGTACTTCTGTATAAATATACTTGTATATGTATCAGTATATGTATTCTATCCGTTACCTAGTATCCCATAACACAAGACAGTGCTTACTTTGGGGCTAGGCTAATTGATGTTAGTGTTGGAAATTTTTATTATTACATTTTTATAAGTTACGATATAGTAACGTACCTAATATAAGTCGGTAAAAAATAAAAATATCGCCTTTAATTTTTAAAGTGACTATATTTGAAAACGATTGGGTATAATACTTCTCCCATAATAAAATTTATGAGAATCAGTTTTCGGATTACGTATAATTAAAGCAAATGTATCATCTTAAGACAAAAATAATTACGTATTATTCAGTCCATTTGATTTAAGTCAAATTAGGTAACGTGCCAGCCTTAGAATTCATCACCTAACGGTCGCTACAATGCATGGGAGCTACTAATTTATCACCGGCCCACATCGCACTGACAGTCGGCAGACTATCGCCTTTTTCTTCGACTTTGACTTATCTAGATTATGCTTTATCTATTAAACATTAATCCGCTATCTGGATCATGTGACTAGCTGCTTGTTTATTATTTCCAAAGGTTTTATAAGAGGATTAAGTCTTAGTGTTTTATTGAGCTTTGTCTTTTTGTTTTATCGAAATGATGTTAATGAAAATAAATTCTCATTTACTTTCCTGAAATCTATTACATGCTCTTAAACTTGCCAAAAACATTAATTTCTTTGGGGCAACCTATATGGGAGAGCTTCAGACTAAGTCAGAAGTTGGGGTGATATTTTGCTTAAGCATCTTACTGATTTGATGAGGATTTGATCCCTAATCTCGTGTGTGTACGTGTGGATATTTATAACTTTTTGTATGTACGGGAATTCATTTTATTTCATCGCACAAAGTTATAAGGGTAAATAAAGTAAGTCTATGAAAAACAATAATGAAGATTACAGGGTATCTGCTGTGACCGATTGTAACGAAAACAATCTTAACAAGTTCCAGAATTTTACCTTAATCATGGGCTCACAATATTTATATAGAAGCCAATCTGGCAAGATTAGTATCAGTATGTACTGCTCTATGTAGAAAGCAATTCCAAATACTTTTAATAACACTCAAAAAAAATTCATTTAAAAAAATCAGTTATTCATAAGTATGTTTCTTCATATATTTAATGACAAAGTCAAACTACATACCGTCACTCATATCATCGGCTGAGGGCAGGCCAGCGGGTGTAGGGTTCGGAGATGGCTGTTGGTGCTCAGACCACTGTGATGTCCTCCATGGTTCGTGTCTTGCAGCTTTCCAGATTTCTAATTGGGCATAAAGTGTGCTTCCAGCCTAAAAGAAATGCACAAAATTTACACATTGACGCTTAAAAATCAGAAAAAACTCATTTTAATATATGTTAAAGAAATAATTGTAATTCTGTGTTTCTCGGTTTGATACGAAAAAGTGACACACTTGGCATTCAATACTGTGGGTTGTGTCATCATCACACGCCACTGAATGTCCGTCTTTTTAAGGTACAGGCCTTCCCTATGGCTGGAATAGACAAACTGGGCCATGATCCACCACGCGGGTCCAGTGTGCCTTGCTAAGCCCGAAATAGTAATTTTTAGGTCGCCCATCCTATAATCGGCCGTTGGGAAAGTCGCTTAACTTCCACGATCGCAGACTAAAAGCAATGTACTACCACTGCGATATCGTGTGTATCAGATGATAAAAAATAGGTGGAAGTACAAAAAAAACCCCAAAGAAAAACATACATTATCAAGTTTTATTCTTATTTTCTCCGAAACGCTGTTTATATGTAAGCAAGTATCAAGAGGAACGTGTCTTGCGTCGTCGCTCATTGCAGAGACTTTCATCGGCCTTGGAGAAAGTCTGTGGGCATCGGCGCGTGCTCGCAGCCCCAGAAAATTAATAGAAATAAGGAATCTATTCCTATTGCCGTAAGGATCTATTTAGAATAATCTTTCATAATGCCATTTAACTGTTTATAAGTTAAACCCACCCACTAAAATTGAGCATTCTGACAAATCAGTCGTTATGTTTTCAAATCTCTGATCTATCAATAAAAACTATTATGTCGTTACAATTTCAATATTATCTCTTTATTTATGGAAACGAGGACATTATGAAGAGGTGTATGATATAACAATCAAATTGCAAAACGTTGTCTTGTTTACAAACACAGTGTGAAATGAAGGACGTTGCATAATACTTCGTCACCTAGTTCACCATAACGGATTTCCTGAGGGTGCTACCGAAAACGTTACCAGCAAAAATAACTACTGTGATACCGTTGATAGTTTATATAAAATGAATGACACCAGACCACAGAAAGTTTGTGAAATAACAGATTATGCACCGTGAAAATAAGACTTATCGATGAATGTTGTTATATTCGTAAACTATTTGAGAGTTTTGCCTACTCTTCAAACGATGTATGTTGTTGTATTTTTTACCAATTTTAATAGTTTATGATAAAATTATCGCAAAAGGCCGAAGTCATAACATTGATAATAAATATTCGTAACTTTTATCTAAGTTATTTCTTTTTTCTAATGTACCTATATTTTGTATCGATCATGTAAAAAACTTAGCATTAAGTCTCTAATTTTACTAAATGAAAATGTGAACAGGTTCTGAACTCGTATTTAGAATACTATAAACGTTATGGTAAGTAGTGTACACCGCTATTAAAATATAATAAAAATAGTAATTTCATTACTATGGTATGAATTATGAAAAATAAATTTTATTATAATGTTTGAAACGAACAAATTGAATCATTCGCTATTATAGATGAATAATATAATGAATATCGCATAGGAACACGCAACGGCAAGAATGATGTAAGCTAATCGCAGTCAAAAAACTTAGGAAGCAATTATCGAAATGGATGTTGCCGATTTAAAGAGCAGATTTTATTGACGAGACGACTGAATTAGCACTCGATGCTTAAATCATCATTTAATGGAACACCAATTTGTGGTAAAACATTGTATTTCTAACACAGATTTTCAATATTGAGATCTATGACCTTTTGTGTTCTCGTGTTAAAGCGATTGTGGCTAACAACGCCTTAACAATGTAAGATACAAAACAATTGATGATTAAGTTTCCTTGTGATGTTGAGTTTTTAATATGACTCCTATCATCGTTAGAGGTCATCGGTTTCATTTAGTTGTAAGTCATGTAAACAAAATTATTTTTATCGCTCGCACATGAATCAATATATCAGACTTTGCCCTCATATCGAGTGCCCTCGTTCACTCCCAGGGTTAACTGATTACTACAAAAGACTCGACTACGTGTGTCCAGTTGAAATTGAGGTGAATTCTTTCATTACTTTGTCTTACAGACAATTATAGTCGAGGTGTAATAAGTATTCGGATTGTATTGCTTAGATACTGAACTATCACCAGCACTCTTAATCTTAGTAGGTGTAATGTTTCAAATTATATCAACTAAAACCTACTCGTCTCCTTACAAAGTAACAGTAAGTACCGAGGACTTAATCAGCTCCAGATTCACAAAATATGATTAGTATTAGTAAATCAAATAAAATGATATAAATAAATAAATAATAAATAAATATTTCCGACACTCACACCAATTAGCCTAGCCCCAAAGTAAGCACTATAAAGCTTGTGTTATGGGATGCTAGGGTAACGGATAGAATACATATACTGTACATATATAAGTATATTTATATAAATACACATTAAACATCCATGACTGGAGCACAAATGCTCGTATTCATCACACAAACATCTGCCCCCACCGGGATTCGAACCCGGGACCTCTCGAGTCGGCGACAGCCATGAAACCCGGAGTACAAACCACTCGGCCACGGAGGTCGTCAATATTGACTATCATAGTGGAAAGTTGTTCCTATAAATTAAACATAATTAATATAGCTATAAAATATGTATATGAAACTGTATCAGTTATTATTTACCTGAGGTGCTCTTTGATTGAAATCTTCTTCTGTCAACGCCATAAGGGCTGCGCCATCCATAGTGAAGTATTCTGCTGGTACCATTGGAAGATTAAAATGTTGCAGTGTGAACATGACCCATGAATTTACGTCGTTTGTACTCCATAGCATAGGATCTGTAAAAAAAAATAATGTTATGGTCTTATAGATATTTTTAGATTTGGTTTCTACAAAATTATTAATTTTGATAGTATAGATCAATTAAAATACATAATTTGGGGTGTTCTTCATCAAATTTATTATATATGCACACGAACAAACTGAATATATACACTAAGTAGATGTTCAGCTTACGTAACCTACCATTCCGTCCATGTTCTCAGAACCCATTTATAATCGCGATGTGCCTAAGCAGTAGCTGACACGTTATCTACATAGAAACGCTCGTTTTTTTACTGCGTTGAGGTCACAGTGACGTCATTAATAATCACATGGCTAATAGTATTGATGTCAAGAAATACGGCTACTACGTTCCCATGTCATGTTATATGATACATATTCAACACATTCTTTGCGTATGTGTACGTTATTGTTCATAGATTTGCAATTTATAGATATTCGTCCTTTTAAGTTAATACTGACTAATAATATAATGGAAGTTATTTCAATGACTCACCTGGTGAAATTCCTAGTACTGAACATGTGTTGTCCACATCTCTTTTGGATTGTTCGATGGCCATAGAGAGCACTCGGTCGATATCAGGTGCAACTAAGGCTTCGTCACCTCCACTGCTTTCTTCCATTTTGATAGACCCTAATTCTATTGGAATGGGTTTGAGGTTCAATCTTTTTTGGAATGTTGTGTCTTCGAGTGCAGATCTGAGCAATATGTGATCTCGTGGCTCTTCTACCTCTATTTTTGGTGTGATGTAACTGTGTTGAACACTCTCTTGTAAAATTTGATTCTCCTTTAGTAATTCTTCAATGTCAATGTATTCTTCGTGTTGTGGTACCGGGGAGGAATATTGGTTATGGCTGCCGTATGAAGCGCAAGATCCCGAAGGAGAAAGAGGATACGGAGAGGCGAAACCAGGGACTACCAGTCTGTTGGGTTCTTCTTTGATATAGACTGAAGAGTACTGTTGAGGATTGTATGGTGAAGATGGTTGCAGGGCTACGGTTGGAATGGACCCTTCATCTGAAGAGGGTGAGGGTGTAGGGTATCCGTCAAAATCGTAGAGGCGTTCGAGGATGTTATTGTCTTCTGGATAGGGGGGTGGCGGCTTGGTGTGTGTCGGAGGCGAGTGCAGCATGGGTTCGGGGGGTGATGCGGCGCCTAGGAAGCGCAGCAAGTGCTGTAGGTCTACAGGCGAGCCGGGCACGGCTCTCTCACTTTGTGATGCTGACGGTGGGCTGCACCCAGACCGAGGTACTGTTTGTGGCATCTGCGGACAAAAAAAAAACATTACGTTAAATTTGCGAAAAATGAAAACGTTATGGTTCTTTAACTGAACACCGTTCGTTTTTCATTTGCGAGCATATTCGATTTGGTCAATAAATTGGGTTTTTTTCACCCAAAAGGTGTCATAACCAAGATGTTGATGTATAATTAAATATATCTGACTCACGTAGAGATTGCACGTCGTCAACACGTCTGTACGTCTGGGTGCAAATTGGTACTAGTGATAATAAATCTGTTTTTTGCCAGTTTTTAGTTTGGAGCGAACGTTTGCTCGTCATTATGCGTGCACTGTATTTTGGTAATCATCGCTTGCTTGCTTGCGTCACGGAATAAGCGGCCAAATAATGCCAGATGTCATAAACATTTACAGAGTGTGTTTATATTAGCGCCGAAATAATCTTAAATGAGCTTCGACGATGTTTAGCAGAAGATGAAAGGGAATACTAATTTTATACTCTTAGGAACAGAATGAAAAATATTTACGGGGTTATAACGATATATTACTTTAAAACTTATGAATCACTAAAGTAGTATTCAATAAGATCAGAAAAATATATTAATGAACGACCTGATCAATTGAACTTAAAATTAAATAAATTAAAGACATAACGTACGTTATAATCTAAAATATCCACTTCATAATATTAAGTCATTGAATTGGAATGAGAAAATCTCTTTATTTTAATGTAACATGAGTTCCTGTCATTAGTTTATTAGGTACCTAAACACAAAGACTTACCCTTAACAATGCTAGACCCATCGCTATCGTTTCCTCACCATAACTAAATGAGGCCCACAATAGTTCTACGCCATGAATCCTTCGGATACAACCGGTCGGTGAAGATAATCAAACAACATTCAAGTAGTCTCTGACTAGATGAAGAAGAAAAAAACAATGACGGCTATTTATTTCCAACTTCATGGGAAGGTTGTAATTGTAAGAATTGCATATTGAAAACTTGTTTTAGAATGAACCAGTGAGATGGAAGGAAAAGATGTAGACTTAACAGATCAAATTATTATAACTTTATTATATGATGCATTATTAAAAAAACACTTTTTAATAATGGACCACCAATTCTTTTTGTGGTTAGATGATGAGAACAAGATTGAGCATTAGTAAATTTCTGAAATTGAAATCAAGTTCAACTGGATATTGTTAATATAGGGGTTAATGTGTTTTAATTTTGATCCAGGTAATATTAAATGGAAAAAAACACTCATCTGGGAAAATCAATAGCGAGCGAGCGAGAATTGGATTATTATTTTCATCTCGTAAATAGAAACTTTTGGGTGGTGCTTTGAGCTTAAATGTGTATTTGCTGTTTATATTGAAAAAAAGAAAGAATATTGCTAACCAATGTTACTGGATAAATTCGTAATTGAATTATTTAAGATAACTATAGCTCTTTTCACCAATGATATCTTTGTATCAATCATAAACATGAGCGACTGTTGGTTTCTTATTAATTAAAAAAAATGGTTTAAAAGAAATGTCTCTCGCCTAATGGTGACCACTGACCAATTCACCATAAACTTAAGCAGTAATATGATTCAGAAGTATGTTTAGTTACACTGCATTTATTGCTTTGCTTGGTTTGTTAATAATTTTTCGTATTATTTTTGTGTCTACACAAGGTTTTTTTTCCTTCTTCTGTGACTTTAACAGCTATCATTACAACATCAAATCTTTGTTTGCCTAAACATCATTCATTATCAATATTTAATTTAGTTTTCCACTTTTCATACTCATTAAACAGTGTCTCAATTGATTGTACTTTTTTTGCACAAGGTAAATCAACCGATTTTATTGAAGTAGGAAGATGTGCCGTTTCTCTTATATACACCTTATCGGCCAGAATGCTGATTCGTACCCCGTAGAATCCTATCACCTTTATCATCATCATCAGCCTATTAATGTCCCCACTGTTGGGGCACAGGACTTCCCTATGGATGGAATTGGGAGACTGCGCCATGACAATCCAGACCACGCGGGCCCAGTGCGGATTAAACTTTCTCAGAGGTTTGTATCAAAAGATTATAAAGATTATTACATTTGAACAGTGAGTGTAACAGAATTTTACCGTGTTTATAGATACTTTTCAAATATTGTCGACCTCCGTGGCCGAGTGGTTTGTACGCCGGGTTTCATGGTGTCGCCGACTCGAGAGGTCCCGGGTTCAAATCCCGGTGGGGGCGGATGTTTGTGTGATGAATACGAGCATTTGTACTCCAGTCATGGATGTTTAATATGTATTTCTAAATAAATATACCTATATAAGTACAGTATATGTATTCTATCCGTTACTCTAGTATCCCATAACACAAACCTTACAGTGCTTACTTTGGGGCTTGGCTAATTAGTGTGAGTGTTGGAAATATATAAATTATTATATATTGTTTCAACACCATTGTTAACATAATAAACCCGAAACGAACCCACTATCTTAATTGACGTTCGTCACTGATACACAAACGGTACAAATATCAATTGGGATTTATTCTTCTGATGCATTTCAAATGGCATTTTAATAGTATTTTATTATTATACCGTTTTCTGTACCTCTGATACGAATTACTACTAATCGTTATTATTTTATGGGTGTTTCATTCATAAATATAACATCCCATTAGATTTGGGACCCACTATATGCGAAAGGTGCACGACTGTTGTTTTTGGAAATCCCTAGTGGAGGCCTATGTGCAGCAAAGGACGTCCATTGGCTAGTTAAGGTGATATGTTGATTATGATTCGTGCTTATTGACTCGGAACAAAAGTTTAGTAGAACATCATATTATTACTTTGAATTCCTATGTTCTGTTTGAAACTCTGTCCGCGTAATTTATTGTCCCGCGTAAAACTTTAACAAACATAAAAACATTTTATGTATTATTCTTGTCGTGCCAAATTTCATTTCAATCATTATGCCTTTTAAGAAAACAACAGCGTTCCAAATAGCTCAAACTATCATCGTATCATACAAAATCGTTATTTCTCCTTTATGATTTCTTTATAACCAGAAAAATATATTTATATATAAAAAGAAAAATCTTACGAAACCGTAAAGTTAAGATACTTAAATGCGTTTACAGTGGGTTAAGGCATTAGAATTAGTGATGATATTTTACAAAACAAATGTTTTTTTGTTAATAAAAACTAAAGAAGTCAACCGAAGACGTATCACAAATTCAATTAAGTTGTTTTTAATCAGAAAAAAATGATTGCTGTATCGAATCATTGCTACACATCAGCCACGAATTTGATGTAAAACTATTTCAATCCTCGTGCATTATCAATCAACATTGATGATGTTTAATTGATTCGAAACATATCTAAGGCTCTTTTTATACACCATTGTCCGTGCGTTTTAAAAGTAAATGATTACTTAGAATTAGCTTTGTCTCCAATGTGTTTCGCATTTTTTTTTCAAACAGCTAACATGACACGTTGTTAACAGGATCAGAAGCAACAGCCTAAAAAGCAGACAATGATAATGACGTCATTAATCATTATACTTCTCAGTGGAGTAACGGATATTCGCGGTGGCTACAAGAATGCAGGTTGCTATATTTTTAACGAAACCTTGGGGTTTTTACGAAGCATGCTCCATACTACCATAATAGACAATAGGCCTAATACGTAACAGCATTCGTCTCTATCATGCAAACCGTATATTCTAATGTCAGAGCGAGATAAATCAATTTATTGGCAGGACCTACAGCTTGAATGGAACGCCGCGCCGCGCCACTCCGTTCTGAATGAAGGTATGTGACCTTAGATTTATTTATGTCTGAGCCATATTATACGAAACTATTAACGATTCTAAGTGATATCAAATCGTGATTCCGGAATACACTGAGCCGGATCAACGATAGAGCAACCGGTATCTAAAATATATCTATTCAGAGAGCGCTTAATGGCTGCATAATATTGTATGTACGAGTAATAAGAATTTTCAGTAACGACCAGAATTTCAATTAGTATCTGCACAGAAACGCAAGCGAACAATAACTGTTAAAAGCATTATAAACTTTAAAAAGAGCAGAATTTTGCATAATCCGACGATCACTACACGAGTCTCGTCACTAGATGTCTGCCTGAGATTAAACTTAATTGCCCATTAGTTTGACTGTACAGATAACTGAGCATTAAGTGTAACAATTGAGCTACCATTGTGACATTTAGTACAATGACATAAGAATGACTCGGTGTGCCTTAGGCCTTAGCAGCAAACTTTTTGCTTCATAAAATTTACAGCCCAACAAATGTAAAATTGAAGCTACATTTACTGAAACATTATATTCTTACTGTAGTTCATAAAATGGTCCGAGATTTTGTGAAAACTTACCAGTGTCGTTGCTTTTTTTACGCTAGTTATTTAATTGCTGCGTATAAAATGTACGGGTAAATGTCAAGAATAACATACGAGTAGAACAGGTTGACCAATGCCAGCCAGTAAAAACACTAGACAAACCTATTACGTTAGCGGAAAAACGTGTAACAATTCCTTGGGTATCCATAGAACAGCACTATCGTAACTGACGCGTAAACTGATAAACTCACTTGGTACAGCCAACTCTCGCCCTCCATATTAAGTCAACTTTAATGTCACTCCAATATTTATAAAACATAAGCCGCACTCACACGTTCACCTCCTAATGTCAAAGCCTCGTTGCGGGATTAACGTTGCGTCCATGGCGGTCAAAACAAGAAGGTTAACTTGCCGGCCGGCGACACATACCCAAAATGTGGCAGAACTTTTGTTTATTTGTCGGTAACTCAGCTGAATTGTTTGAGGTTATGTTTTATATATATTTTTTTTGTTTGGCCGCCGTGTGCGTGTGCGCGGCGGATAGATCACACAGCCACTGAGTTGCGCGCGGGCGTACGAAGCCTTTGGCTCAATGGACGCCTGCGTCACAGCGGGAAGTACGCTCAAACAAACTAACACACAACTTTTAATAGAACCCAACATCGGAACA